ACAGCTTTCAGGGCTGTGAAAATGTAAGTTACTACTGTAAATTCAAAGCCCTTCCTTCCCAGTAAGCTTCCATGATTCCTTGTCCCTCAGAATCACAGGCCTTGATCTGCACAATGACTTTGTCGGCCTTACATGGATCTGAGGCAGCCTCATTAATGTCTGTTAGTCCCATGATTAGTTCACCTCCTTTACACTTCTGGGTACCTTCCCAGGGTCTTTGAAGGCAGTGGTGATGGCCCCATCTAGGGGTGACTCTGACATTTCAATCAGAGATTTGTGTATTTATTAGAATTTTTTGGCAGATGGCCATAGAGTATCTTCAGCAAGTGGTGCTTTTTCCAATTCACACAAAGGCTCTAAATAAGCTAGAGATGGTCCTGTACCTTCCCTCTCTCGAGCTTACTGTTATTTACCACCCCACCCCCACCCCACTCCATTTCCAGCAGCACAGCACAAACATGAAAAGCTTTTGTTTTTCCCAAACACCAGTTCAACAGTGGATTTGGGGGTCTTCCATGTTAGAGTTTTCAGTAATGAAAATGTGTCATCTTTGTACTGGGTCAGGACTCCCATGAGCCCCCATCTCTATCTTAGCTGTCACCCCTTACTTTCTATGTGATTTTCGGCAAGTCCCAATCTTGTGGAGATCGGGTCTTGATCTGTAAAAGGAAGTAAAATGAGGTGGTGGAGAGGCACAAATGAGACTATATATATAAAATGTATGCAATGTGCCTGCCAGGTGGTCCTGCTGTTTGTTTTTTGCCCTATCCGCACCCTAACTCCTACACCAGACATGGGAAGGCTCAAGGATTCAGGACTCGCCCACTTCATGCAGGCACACTACACATGTTCAACAATGTTTCTTTCCTCCCTTTTGTCCCAGAGGACCCCCAGCTCCACTGTGGGCCTTGTTTCCGTTCCCAAGGCCCTGAATTCTAGAAGCACAAAGCATGCAAATGCTCTGGATCTGATCCTCCTAACCTGGACACTTGTGGCCAGGGATGAGTCCCTTTTCCCCGTTGTCACAGTGGGGCCAGTCTGCCTACTGGGCTGCCAATGCCTCTTTCCCAGAGCTCTTCGAATTCATTAAAAGGATCTGTAGACCGATTTCCTAAGGCATTTTGTGATGTCTTATTCACTTCAGGGAAAATCATGTGATTTCTTGCTGGATAGAAATACAACCTGGACAGGCAAGAGCCCGAGGTTAATCTCCAATTAAGTGTAAAATCAGCCAGCATCAGAATGGTGCTTTCCTCTCCCCTCTAGAACCTCCCCACCCCCTCACTGAATACCTTTGAAGAAACATAATGAACACAGTTGTAATGACAGTAAGAGTGCATCATGTAGGAGGAAGGGAGGGTAAGAGAATGTGGGGGTGACCCAAGGGGGCAGGTACCCAAGCCACATCACCAAGAGCTGAGCTGTCATAGGAATGAGTCCATGTCAAGACATAGGGACCCTCCAGACCTGACTGTTGACAAGTGCACAGGGCAGAGTAGCTGGGCCTGTGTTATATGGGGGAAACTGAGGCAGGTTTGGGGCCAGCATAGATAGGGTGGTGGGGGTCAGGGTGGCTCATTACAGGGCCAAGAGACATGACAGTCTCTAGCCAATGGGGTTACTCTGCGCTGAAGAATTCAACAAAACCTGGTGGATAACGTTTGGGAAGATCTTGAATGGCAGGGCATAATCCAGAAGCTCAGAATGGGTGTGGAGAAGATACCATTACTACTACTACTACTACTACTACTACTACTACTACTACTACTGGTTAATATTAATTGAGCACTTATTAAGGGCCAACCACAGGCGTTTGGGTAAAGCAACTTGCCCATGATGATTAAGGCATGAATATGGATAATGGTGTCTGAGTTCCTTCCAGGGGGGTTAGTCTCCAGGGTCTGACCAGCAATGGCTAGCAAAGAAGACACAGGGAGCAATAAAGGAACACAGTCTCCACTGAACCCCTCTGGATTTCAGGCCCAGAGGGATACAGAATTCTGAGTCCTGCAGGATGAGAGCAGAGGTGGAGAAGAGGTGAGGGACGGTTAGGACTGAGGTTGTCCATACCCCACCTACCTTACATCCAGATGGCCCTGGAAACTATAGAAGGATAGTACCTGCCAGCGTCATGGGACTTAGATGGGAGTCGCTGAGGAAGCAGAAGCTACAAGGATACATCCAGGGCTGGCAACACTAGTGGAAAGCTCAGTTCCCACAGGCTTGCCAAGGGCTGGGGAAGGTCAGGGGCATAGAAGGCGGCTGCCTGTTCCTGTTCTCCAGGACCAGCGGAGCCCTCTCCTTTGCAGTCTTACTGTCAGGCACCTTTTGGGGCATCCTGAGGACCTGTCTTCAGGAAATGGGTTTATAGAGGTTTAGGGGAAATGATACAATTTGAATGTACACCAAAATAGGGAGGCTCCCAAGTGGAAATACTGCTCTGGAGAGGGCATTCCCGGGGCTGCCCCATCTTGACCCCATCCGCCTGGACCCTGAGAAAAGGTTAGGCACCTTTATTTTGCACTCCACTGGCTCCCTAAACCCCAGCAAGCTTCCAAAGTGAACTGAATCCTACAGAAAACTCAGCTGGGCTGACCTGGATTACCGGAATACCAGCACCCTGTGGGCAAGCTTAGAAGATCCAAGGTGCAAGGAACTTTGGCCTCAACCTCTCCTCTAGGAGAATTTTCCCACTCTGGTGGAAATGACAGGGCATGGTCTGGGTGTGAATCCTGAATTCACCTTTTCCCGGCTGCGAGACCTTGGGCAAATGATGTTAACTATTCTGTGCCTCAGTTTTCTCATCTGTAAAATTGGGTTAATGCCGGTACTGATCTCACAGGAATACTATCAGGACAAAGGCAATAAACCCATGCAAAGCACGTAGAGACACATTCCACATGCAGTAGTGTCAATTATCAAGATGTACATGGAATACATGTCTCAGCTTGGGCCTCTGGGGAAACCGCTTCTGTCCCGTCCTCCTAGAAACCATCAGATAGTTAAGGGATTGGTCACCAGCATCAAGGTGCCATCTAGAAATACATTCAGCTTAAAGGGGCCCCCTCGTACTCCACCTACTGCTTTATTTGGTGTGTTGCCCCACTGTGTCCGTGTGCGCCTCAGATGGGAGAAGTTGGACACCAGGGTTGCTTACTGTCCACATCAAGTCTTCCCCAGGATTAAGGCGCTGACCATCACGTGTCACTATGTGGAAAGGCAGGGCTTCTGTAGGCAGTTGTTGCTTTATGGCCCCCAAGAAGACCCCATGTCCGAATCTCCAGGACTGCGGTTATGTGGCAAAAGAGATGTTGAGGGTGTGATTCGGGTTACTCCTGACTGTAAAATAGGGAGATTATCCCGGATTATCTGTGTAAACCCAACAAAACTCCCCCAATGAAGGGGTGAGCCCCTAACAGCAGAGGCAGGGGTTGGTACTCTGAGCAGCTGTTTTCTGCCATTGGCTCTGGCGTGTGGCCTTAGGCAAGTCCCTTCTCCTCTCTGGGTCTGTTTCTGCATTTGAAAAGGTTAGATTACAGCCAGCTGTCTTCAGCTAAGGGACATCAGAGTCAGCTACAGAGACAAGTAGAGATGCAGGATGAGCAGGAATTTTCTCTTTTTTATAAACCCCTTCTACCCCCAACAAACTATCCCTGAAAAGTCCAAGTCAGAGCAGTTTATCAAATCGTGCAAAGCAAGTCCTATTCAGGGCGTGGAAGTTGATTCCCAAGTATGTGATTTGAAGCAGCTGGTTCGCAAAGCAGTCTGGATGCCTTCTAACACTTTAATTAAAATACCGGCCAACTTCAAGCTGGTGAACTAGTTATGCCCATCACACTTCCTGGCCGTTCTTATTAGTGTTGTTTTGTCATGACTGTGAGACTTCCTCCCAGGAAAAACCCTTGTTATGTGAACTGAAGATGCTCAACTATGGCCAGACAAAACCTAGTAGAGATGTCCATGTTTTCTTTACAATGTAGGTTGTAGTAAAACCCACAGCTGAGAATTTAAAATGTCAAAGCTGAAAAGGCTCTTTCAGACCACCTGGTTTAAAGACAGACAATCTGAGGCCGAGAAGAGGTGGGGGGGAACTTGCTCAGCATCAGAGAGAAGCAGTTAACAGTGGTGAATCTGGACCTCCATGGCTCCTGAAAGCTCTCTTCACTGCTCAAGTTTCCTTTTCATTGCCTTTGATGCTCAGAGATTTGAAAGTCACTTATCATTCAGTCTTTTTACTCCCTAGACTGGTTTCACTATTCTCTGAAGTGCGCCAACTTCATTCACAGGTCATCAAAGTACAAGACAACGCACAAAGCCATGTAAGATACAGGCAGCTATGGACACACTCTCTGTAAGCACTCCCCACCCACCAGATGGGCCTTATCCACCATTTTTGGTCTTTGCCTCACCAAGAGACCTCCTTCCTCAACCTGCTTTGTTTGTTGTCTCAAGCTTTCGTGTGCCTAGACATCTCCTGGAGGTCTTATTACAATACAGATTCTGATTCCACATGTCTGGGTGGGGCCCAAGAGCCTGCATTTCTAACAAGCTCTCAGGTAATGCTGATGCTCAGGCTGATGACGGACCGTGTTTGGAGTAGCAAGACTTGCAGATACTGTTTCCATTAGTCCCATTTCTAAGCATCCTCTCCATTTACTGTTGGGATTCCTTTACTACTCGGGGTAGTTGGTGTATTAGAAACTTCCAGGCCTGCATTTTTATCAATCCCTGCTTGTGTTACATTGGGCAAATCATTTCTCATCCCTCCCCCCCCCCAGCCTCAAGTCTCCTTATCTGTAAAATGGGGCTGTCACCTACCCTGCAGTGATGTTGTGAGGCCTGAAGAAAGGACAAGGGCGTGGCAAAAAGCAGGCTGTACACTGAGATTCCCAGGTACAAGGTTCCGTGAAAGATAAAATGAGTAGTACGTGGTGGCTGCAGTCACGCCTTCTATGCACAGAGATTATTTCCATGACAAAACTGCAAATGGAGGCCATTAATACTAGACAGTCAGCATACTTTATTGAAAATCACATGAACGGACCCCAGGATTTGATTCGTTTTTCTGATTTCATATATGTATTTCACATAGGCAGTCTAGCATCTACTAATGTCCTTGGTACCAAGTGCTTCTTTTCTTATGAAAATGAAGGCTTGTCTTCATCAAAAACAGCTCTTCACGGCGTCTTGCTTGTCTCTGCAATTATTGAATGCTTCTGAAGCTTTTTCTGGGCTTGTAATGTGTCAAGGCCATGTCTGCAGCTACATTCAAAACAGTATCATTGATCTACTTTCTCTCAAAAGCAATTTTTTTCTAGTCACAGAAATCCTTCTTTCTCTACTATTTTTTCCTAGTTATTACACAATCAAGGAACTTCTTGAAAATGAAAGGAGACTTCACCATGATAGCCAATTATTTTAGCACTCTACATGACACTATTTCATTATTAAAATGGGATGCTGAGTTTCGCCCCTCAGTGGCTAGACAACCCCCCCCCTACAAACACACACTCTCCCTGTTTTAAACAAAAACTTCAGTAATGTTTCTTATTCTAAATTATCTCATAACTTTTGCTGTTGCTGCAGAAAAACCTGGTAGGGATTTGGCCACGAGGTACTGAGACCTTTCCGACTTCTTGAACTGCATGTGTGGATGACGCCAGTTGTCTTGAGCTGAAATGTTACCAACTTGGTGCAGTACACAGACACAAACAGGACCTTCATTTTTCCTTTGAGAAACAGCTTAGCCAAGGACCTACAAACTACCAACTGAAAAAGAAATCACCCATCTCACAAGGTAAAATTCAATGATCTTTGTAAAACACTATCTACAGGGTATACTGGAGGTGAGGAGAAAGTGCCACACAGAAATCCCTTCCAGCCCAGTTTTTGCTCCCCTGGAAACTGGACCTGCATCCCCTCCTTCCCCTCAAACCCTTGCCTGTTACTACCTTGTTAGGCCGGCAAGAGTCTGAGTCGCGTCATCTCCAGGAATGTGGCCTCTGTGTGGCACAGGGAAAGCAGCATGGGGAACAGTCACAGAGGCCTGGATTAGAGTCACAGTTCTGTTATTTACATTTGTGTGACCTTGAGCGAGTTCCTTTAGCCCCCTGGGCCATAGATCCTTTATCTACCAAATGAGGACAGCATCTACCTGCATGTTGAAGGACTGCATGACATCATGTGTATGGAGCTCCTAGCACTTAATATGTGCTCAGGAAATGTTACCACCATGAGATTCACATTCACACTTCATCCATGGCCACTTTCTCTAACCTGCCAGGCAAGGTACGTGGATAACTTCCTGGAATCGCCACTCTCCGATGACCATCCCCCTCCCAGAGCCTCTACTGAATGACTATCCATCCCTCAAGCCTGACCCAGGCCAGTCGCATTCCATGACAGTGTGCCTCACCATAGAAAGCTTTTGCTTTTTACATCAGATTGCGAAAAGGGAAACACTAGGTTCATCCTTCGCCATTCTTTGGGTATAGCCCAGGGCAGTGGCAGAACTAGCCAGCCACTGTTCCATGGCCTCCAACCACACTGGTGGTCCCAACTCTTTAGGACAGGCTCTCGTTCAGTGTCCCAGGACAGCAATGTCATGGCCACATTACTGGGACACCTGTTTTACTGGGATCACAGTGGCTTTCTCTAGTTCTCCATGATCTTGAGGCTGCAAACCTGCACACTGGCTTGCTTTAGTCTTCTAATGGGACAGCAGAGAGGCCACAGCTCCGAGACCTGGGCTCAACAAGCACTACCTGGTTGAGAACAGTGGGCCTCACAGGGATTTCCTTTGGGGGTGAGCAGCGGGTACAATGGTGGCCACTTGGCTGGCTCTCTTGCTCTGGGTTTCTTGGCAACTTGGGCTTAGAGTTGAGAGAGTCCAACGTGGCTACCTGGGCATGTCTTCATTGGGAATGACATCGAGTTTCCAGTCAATTACTTCCTGACAGGCTCTCAGTGTGTTTAGCCCATGTGTTACTAACTCAGCAATAGACCACATTTAGAGTTTAGTCTTGAAAGTGCCTACTGCCATTCAGAAACACACTGTTCCAAAGGCATCTCAGAGTTGGTTTGGGCATGCGTGCACACTCATTCTTTCATATTCATTCTCTCTCTCTCGTCACCTTCCTCCATCTCCCTCTATCTCACCCTATCTCTTGCCTCCCCCACCCCCATGTCTCCATTTCTCTCTCAGTGTTGCAGTCGGTACACCAGCAGGGCCTTGCTGGAAGGCCCAAGTTGGAAAGCCCTTTCTCCCACGCTGGGCCATGAGCCATGACTTTCTCTAGCAGCTTCCCTTCAACTGTCAGGCATCAGAAATGTCTGCTCCTCAGATGTCCCACTCACTACACCAACTGCGCTTTAGTTCCTTTCCAACGATTGACATGGCAAATGGGGAAGACTAGGAGCTTATGTCTGCAAGGTTTCCATTTGGTGGCAAATATGTGGGGCTAGCAAAAGAGGGTAACAGCCAAACCCCCAAAATGATGATCAGTAAAGTCATCCATCATACTGCCCCTTGCTAGAAATGTGTGGTGTCATGCAAAGAACCTTAAATAGAAGGAGCCCAGGGGCCTGGGATCTTGCTTAGGCATGGCTGCTAACATGTTCTGCCTCAGTTTCCCCAATGGTAAACTAGGAGGTTAGACTACATTATTATTTTGAAAGGCCCTTCCAATCAAATACATGATGGGTTGTAAAAAGTGTCTTTTATCTCAGGGCTGTGCTTCTCAACCTTTATTGGGCCACAGGCCCAGTTGAAATGCAGTCGAATCTTATGGATCTCTTCCCAGGAAAGGCACACTGTCATAGAATTCTGCATACCGTTTTAGAGGCTTCGTGACGTTCCTGAATCCGTAGGCACTGGGTGAAGGACTGCTTCTTTCAGAAAATAAGAGTTTATCTGCAGAAGGTACACACATGACGCAACAGTGACAGCTGCCTGGCCTCAATCCATCTTAACTTTTTTTTTCCTCCAGCATTTGACCCATAATTGGAACTCCTGCAGGAGAAACAGTCTCCATTTTTTAGAGAATTGTTTGCAATTTTTTTTTCTTTCTCGATTGCTTGGAAAGGAAGCTATTAGGAGAAAACAGGCAGAAGAAGAATTCAAAGAGACCTAGGCTTTGACATGCAAAACATGCTTTGCAGATTTGTCCTAAGCGGCTGGATGAAGGAACACACGGGGTCTTGGAAACTTATTGCAGCACCAGCGCTCCAGCCTGGCACCAGGGTCCATATCCTTAGCAAGAGACATGTTATGATTCTCCATTGTTCAGCAAACGTTCCAGCTGCCCTGGTTCCAAGTTAAGCAATGGCCCCAACTCAAGTAGCTTTTGGTTTAGGGTAAGACCTCTGAGATCATTCGCTAGCCCCAAATCTCTCAGAGTTCCATGTTCTTTTGGGGAGGCAGGAAGTTCAAATAAGAGTTGAAAACCGAGCTCCCCTCTTCAACTCAGGTCAGTGGAGTGCTTGGTTTTTACAGAGTCTGGCTTGAGGGAGTTCAGCCATTCACAGTCCTACGGGAGCTGGAGAAAGAACTTCTGAGGGAATGAAGACAGAATATAAAGGAGAAATAAACCTGTTCTAGGACATGTGCCCCTTACTTTATGGCATCCCAGAGCCTAAAGGTACAGGGCCACAAAGGAGCTACTACTCTTCCACACAAATTGACTCAGCACACAAGGGTTGGAGGAAGACCCTTCCAGAGCCGGGAAAGGGTCCTCTGAGGCCAAGGCTTTAAAAACCTGTAAGAAAAAGAAGAGAGGAGGGAATTAACTAGGACTGGTCAAGCACTTAACAGCTACTGAGCAGTGGGGCGTCCTTTGGTAGATACCTAACCGGACAATTGGTAGCTACTCTTCTGATCAACAGGGGCTGTCTACATAAAGGCCCTTATAACTCTGATGTCATGAAACAGGCCTAAGATGGTGCTGGAATCAGAAATAGAAACTGTGGGCCTTCTGCTTCAACTCGAACCCCCCAGAAGTCTACAGGAGATGCAGAAGCCTGATATCTCTGAGGTCACCCCCGCCCCATTGCATGGCCACTGCCTTTATGGTATTACAATAATTGTAAACTTCCTTTTACTGGGACTTCACCTCCATGAGTGCTGATAAGGAAAAACCTTATCTACCCAAGGACCTGTGAGGACTGGCAATGATAAAAAAGAAAAGGATGCCTGGGGAGCACATGGAAAGCTCTGCTGCAGACACCTGGATCTCATTTATGTGGTATATTGGTCCATGTTTATGCCAGCAATCTGAGAGTCACACAATCAGAGTTCCTAGAGAAAGAAGTGTCCATGGTCTTCCATGGTTCCTGTGACCTCAGCAAGTTACTTATCTCCTCTGACCCTCAGTTCCTCTATTTGTTGAGTTAAAATACAAAATACCCTCCGTATTTCTGGCATTGAATATGGATCAAATGAGCTAATGGATATGAAAGTGTTTTACATTAGACAAATATAAAGGACTAAGGATGAAGGTTCAGGAGGGTAAGACTGAAATAGTGATTTGGTCTGAAGGAATGAAGTCCTTTTACAGATACTAAGGTGGATACTCAGTGCCTGTTATGACACCAAAATAGAGGTTACTGATCTTCTTATGGGCCCAAATGATGTCAGAGTTAGAAGGTTCCAATCTTGTCATTTTATGGATTGGGAAATTGAATCTCAGAGAAGGAAATGTACTTGCCCAAAATGTCACAGCCCAGGATGCAAAGGCAATTTCTAAAACTACACTGTAGTTTGGTGTAGGTAGAAAGACAGGCAAGAAGAAAGAGACTTAAAAACTCAGAGAACCTCAGAATCGGAAGGCAGTAAGTTTAAGGGTTATGTAATTATAGGGTAATGAACTGAGGCAAGGAGGTGAGTTTCCACCCTTTGGGCCTACATGGTATTCCAGTCCTCAAAAACTCAGATCCCATAAAGAAGGTTTATGTGTAACAAGGTTCTGTAATCAAGAGTGGGAGGTTACATACCTGAGGCCTCAACTCTCATCTCCTGGAAGTCTTCCTTGAGAGCTGTGGATAAAGGAGGAAAGACATTTCACTAAGAAATCCGAACTGGAAAGGCAAAGCCAGGGTAGGGGTGGCCCTTCCAGACCAGTGCCAAAGTGGTCATTTGAAAAACTGGGGAAGTGATTCCATCCAGATATTTCAAAGCATCTAGCTCCACAGCTCATTATTGTTACCACCTACTTAATTACATAAGTTCGATCTTTCTCTCTTATTCCTTTTCCAATGTTCCATGCTTGAGAAGCCAGCAAGGTCTTATTAAGTCTACCTCATATCTCTCCTTCCATTTCATTCCTACTGGCAATGTCATAGGTCAGGGCCTTATCACCTCTTGCCACATGATTAGCCTCCTAACTGGTCTCCCTGCCTCCTGTAACAGAGTGAAATGCTTGGTCTCTCTGACTCCATCTTGCTCAAGCCTGTGTGGTTCCCGTGGCCTTCAGGCTCCCAGCTTCTGCTTAGTCTTGCATAGAGACATGCTAATCATTGCAAAGATTCTGGTTGGGTCTTGAGTTTTACAACTGTCCCTCCCATTTTTCCTTCCCTTGACATAAAAGAAGCCTGAACACTGTACTTTCTTAAGATGGATTTGAGGATTAGGACTCCCATCTTCTCTGTTGATGCCTTCTCGATCAGTAAAACTTTCCTTACTCCAAACTGTGACATTTTGAGTTTTCATCTTTCGAAGCATCGGGCACATGGACTTTCGACCAGTGCAATTTATGTCCCCATCTATCTTCCCCATTGTCAACATAATGATTTTTCCAGCTCAGCCTGCTCAGAATATGTATTATCATGCTTAAGAGTCTCCCATGACTCCCAATGAACTAGAGTATAAAGACCAATCTCCATAGTATGTCATATAAGGCCGTGATAATCTGGTCCCATCCATCTTCCTGGCCTCACTGCCAGCTAAGCTTCTCTCTCCTCACCCCCACATCCTAGCCAAAGTGGAACACTAATCACTTCCCGAGCCTGTCTTGCATAAGCTGTCAGCCTTACTGAAAGGTCTTCCCCTCCCTTCTCTTCTTGATGAACCACATCTCATTTTCCTTTGAGTTTAAATTTTTTTCATTGTTATGGAAGGGAGATGAATAAAGGAGCGAGGTCATTCAAATGTCAGGTTATGGGCAGGTGTCCAAATAGGAAGCAAAACAGGGCAAAGTAAAGGTTAAAGAGATCATTATTTTCATTACAGAGGAGAGAGGAGCCTGGCAACAATGTCCATGGACAGCACTTACTGGGGCTAATCTCAGGACCTGGACCAGTAGCCAGCACACAGATGCACTGATGTAAGAGGTGGTTAAACTGTGGGGGCCTATACAGAAGGGGTGCTGAGTGGAAGGAACGTTTGAGCACCTAGGATGGTGGCTCATGACATACTGAAGGACAGGTATACCCACTTTGGTCTTACCCACACACTCGCCAAGATAGAGTCTGGGGATAAGGATTAAATCTAGGTTCCAGCAGCCTAGGCATAAGGTTCTAGACTGGTGCTCCAGCCTGGAGTGCCCCTTGTGTTGTGGCTGGTCTAAGGTTTCCCTGAGTGCTAGTTGACAAAGCCCAGGCAGTGGTTACCGACACTTCCATGCTCTCAGCACTGTTTGGCAATACTTTCCCTAACGGAAGTCAGTCTGCCTTAAAGAGTCTATGGACTTTGTTCATGCATCTTACAAAGTCCTTCTCAATGCCTTGGTTCCATGTCCAATGCTACAGATTAATCCTTCTTATTTTTCGGTGTATTTCTAGTTATCTTTCAAGCCCCAGCTCAGACATCACCTCCTCTAAAGAGCTTTCCTTTAGATGTGCCCAGTTCATTATGTTAATTCTAGTTTACTTCATTCCATTTCTTTGGTGTTTATTTCTCATATGGCTTATTCTAGGGAGGGAGAAAGGTCCACCAGGAAGGCGGACTCCCCTCCCTTCCTCTCCCTCTCTCTTTATCTGTTTTTCTTTTTTTTTTCTCAAGGTAGACATCTGATTAGGCCTGCTTGAAAAACATCCTAGATGAAAACGATATCTTCATTCTAAGAGGAATCTGGGGCCCTGACTTCACTTTTATCCGATACAGTAGAATAAATGGTAAATTATTCTCTAAGGAGAATGTGGCCCAGCCTAGCGTTCCCTGCAGCCGACTGCCAAGCAGAGGTAGGACGACCTGCTGTGCGGAATCATGTCCTGGGGAGTCAGGCCCCGATTTTAACTGGATGATGTTGAACCTGCCTCAGCTCCACTGCTGATAAAGGCACACTCTTCCACTTTTAATACCACTCCTGTCACCCATCAGGAAGCATGAGTTCAAACCTTCTCATAAGCAACATGCTTCAGGCTCACAGAAGAGTCCCCGAAGGCTAAGCAACCATTTTCCCAAGTGTTCCAGTTGAAAGGGCCCTAAATGCCAAGCCTTGGGCAGTCTGTGCCAGCACTTGAGGAGAAGGCAGGCAGGCAGAGGGGAGGGACAGAAGGAGGGAGGAAGTAAAACAAAAGAAAACAAAACAGATTAATAGGTCCCACTCTTGCAGAGCCTGTTTTAGAGCGTCTGGAGTGGAAGGCAGGAATCTGTCTTTGTTTTTTTCCCTTCCTTTTTTTCAAGGTAACTGATATGTACAGCCAGTCTGAAAACTACCACCTAAATCGAATGTTTACCTCTTAAATGAGCGCTACGCTTATTCCAAGGCTGTTTATGTTAGACAGTTGCAGTCAATATATTCCTGTCAGCTGCCCTTTTAGAATAGAATAGGCTCTAAATAAGTAAGCTAACCAAAAAAAAAAAAATTACACCTATGATGAGTATAAAGTTCTTATAATACTACCTGGTATGTTTGGCATGTGAGTACTGTGTGTGCGTGTGTGTGTGTGTATGTGTGTGTGTGTGTGTG